AGACAGACAGACAGACAGACAGACAGGTGTGCTCTGCTGTACCAGAGACAGACAGACGGGTGTGTTCTGCTGTACCAGAAACAGCCAGACAGACAGGTGTGCTCTGCTGTACCAGAGACAGACAGACAGACAGACAGACAGGTGTGCTCTGCTGTACCAGAGACAGACAGACGGGTGTGTTCTGCTGTACCAGAGACAGACAGACAGACAGACAGACAGACAGACAGACAGACAGACAGACAGGTGTACTCTGCTGTACCAGAGACAGACAGACAGGTGTGCTCTGCTGTACCATGTCATTGTACTCAGTGAGGTAGTAGAGCTCGTTGGTGCGGATGAACCTGGTCAGACCATCAGAGTCGATCTTCATTCTTTCCTGGAGCTGCAGGTTCTCCTGATGACTGTCTGTCTGCGGGGAAACACTCTGTTTACTGTGTTTGTACACTGCAGGACACAGAGGTGCAGACCTGTTGTTACAGACTGAGTGTCTGTTCAGAAGTGATGATGATGATGAAGGGTGTCAGTGTGGGGCTCTGGGTGACTCTATCCTCTCTCCAGCTCCAGTGTCCAGTCTCTGTCTGTAACCCCACTGTCCCCCTGACACAGGACACAGAGGTGCAGACGTGTTGTTACAGACTGAGGGTCTGTTCAGGAGTGATGATGATGATGATGATGAAGGGTTATTGGGCTCTGGGATGTTACTAGACTGACTGCAGGTGAGAGACAGGTGTGTGACGGGTGTGACTGGGGTGTAACAGGTGTGAGACAGTTGTGTGACGGGGTGTGACAGGTGAGACAGGTGTGTCCCTGCGGTTACCTGTCTGAAGATGGACACGGTGTCTCCTGTGATGTTGTAGAGCTGCCAGACCTCTGGCTCGCTGCAGAGGGCGAAGGGCAGGGTCTGCAGTCTCGACGCTACTGACAGAAACTCCTGGAATCCCTGGCCCCCGTCCTCCTGAGGCAGAGAGGAACCGTGAGGCGCCCTGACAGCTCACCCCACTGGGCTGACCAGTGAGTCAGTCAGGGTCCCCACAGCAAAACCAATACAATTCCCATAAACACATCTACAGACATTTACACATGAACATATGGAGCATTACTGAGAGACAGGCTCACTGTTCCTCAGGCTGGGACAGG